GCAGAGAGAGAGGGGAGGAAGCAGGCTCCCCACTGAGCAGAGAGCCCAATGCGGGGCTCGATCCCAGGACCCTGGGATCATGACCTGAGCCGAAGGCAGAGGCTTAACCCACTGAGCCACCCAGGCGCCCCACTCTTGAGTAATTTTTATTTTGAACTGTTCTGGAAAATGACAGCCATCTTCTCTTCAGATATCTCTCCCATTGTCTGTTTAACCTTCCGAATTTACTTAAATTCCATTCTTTGTCGTTCATATTTTCCATTCATTTTTCTCTGCCTTTTGGCTAATTTTCTCTGACTCCTCTTCTAGTTCAATTCTTTCTTCAGCTCTAATCTGTTTACTTCAACTGAAGTTTTATTTTAATGACTATATGATTAAAATTTCAAGTCTTTATCATTTCTCATGCTTCCTTTTTATATGGGCTATCTTTAAGCTTGGGGATATTTTAGAATTATCTCAGTAGAAAACTTCCTTATGTACTTTCGTCTGCAATTTATTAGCTTTGATTTCTTTCTTAAGCTGATGTATTTATTTTTTTTATTTTAGAGGAAGTATTCAGAATCTTTTTCACTGAATGTTGCTCTAGCTTTCTTGCTTACGGTACCATAATTCTTGTAGCGATTCTTCTGAAACTTTAGGACCATGTCTCTCTTTTTTTAATTATTTATTTTAAATTTTTTATCTTTGGTAATAGTCATTTTTTTTGGCATCTATAATCTGTAATTTTCTCCTTCGACCTATTAAGGTATTATTTCACTGGATTTCTGATGAATGACTAGCATTAATTTGAGAGAAAGAGTGAGAGGGAGAGAAAGGTTGGGGGAAGGGAGAGGGAAGACCATTTTTCCTATCCAGAGCACCTGGGTGGCTCAGTCAGTTAAGGGTCTGACTCTTAATTTCTGCTCAGGTCGTGATCTCAGGGTTGTGATATCGAACCCCTCCACCCCTCCATCAGGCTTCGTGCTGAGCGTGGAACCTGCTTAAGATTCTCTCTCCTCTCCTTCTGCTCCCGCCTCCTTCTGCCTCTCTCTCTTCTTTTGCCTTTCCCTCTCTCTCTCCCTCTCTTTAAAAAAAAAAAAAAAAAGGTTTTTCTTTCCTCACAGGTTGGATTATTGTGGTTTTCTTTTTCTTTTTGTATTATCTATGTCAGGTTTGGATATCTAGATTTTGCTAGTTTCATAAAATGAATTTGGAAGACTTTTCTTTTTTATATGCTATCATCTATTAATAATTGTTACTATATTTTCTTTAAAGGTTTTATAGAAACCAATCATATAATAATCTGGACTTGATGCCTTTTTATTGAGAGGAAGGAAGCCAGTGGCTGTAGTTTTTTGTACCATTGTTTCCCTGTAGTTCCTTCCTTAGTAGTTTGTCTGAATTTATTTTTTAACATAGGCATCTTCAGAGGTGGGCTTTTAAAAAAAAATACCAACCATTTTTAGGGGGAGGAAATTTTGCCATTTGTAAAGTCACTAGACATGATCGATTGTTTACTATAATTATTTAGTTGCTATGGTCCACTGAAGAGATCAAAACAGGAGAGTAAATCTAGTAAATCTAGTACCTTTCTTGAATTTTGTTATTGTTTTTGTTTTTAATTCTTTCATTTTCCTTTTAGGATTGTTGAAAATAGATTTCCTTCATTTTTTCTAAGAAGGCATATTAAGGCCAAAACTTTATCTCCTTTTAGTTTTACAATATCTTATTCTACTTTTTAAAAAATTACTTATTTTTATTTTTTTATTTTTTTTATTTTTTTTTTTTAAGATTTTGTTTATTTATTTATTTGACAGAGATCACAAGTAGGCAGAGAGGCAGGGAGAGAGAGAGGAGGAAGCAGGCTCCCCGCCGAGCAGAGAGCCCGACGCGGGACTCGATCCCAGGACCCCGGGATCATGACCCGAGCAGAAGGCAGAGGCTTCAATCCACTGAGCCACCCAGGCGCCCCAAAAATTACTTATTTTTAGAGAGAGCACATGGACGCGCACACACATATGTGGCAAAGGATGGGGGGCACAGAGGGAGAGAGAGAATCCCAAGAAGAACCCCCTCACTGAGCACAGAGCCGGTTGCAGGGCTCAATCTCAGGACGCTGAGATCATGACCTGAGCCAAAAATCAAGAGTCAGACACTCAACCAACTGAGCCACCTAGGCACCCCTTATTATACCTTTTTTTCTTTTTTTTTAAGATTTTATTTATTTATTTATTTGACAGAGCATGAGCGAGAGAGGGAACACAAGCAGGGGTGTGGGAGAGGGAGAAGCAGACTCCCTGCAGAGCAGGGAGCCCAGTGTGGGGCTCGATCCCAAGACCCTGGGATTACAACCTGAGCCGAAGGCAGACGCCTAATGACTGAGCCACCCGCACGCCCTTCCTTATTCTACTTTTTAATATATTTTTATTTTATAAGTATCATCCAAGTTCTTACTCTTCTGGGGAAATCTGAAAGAATCTAATTTCAACTAGGGCTCATAGTGATTTTTCTTCATTTTTTGGATATAAAATTACTTTTATTTGAGGAGATAAGTCTTATATCTGGACATTCATGGTCTGGCCCTGCCCTCTTGTCACCATACCAGTCATTTTCTACTGCCCAGCAAAAATATTTATTCTAATTAGTTTTAATCAGCTCCATTCCCTCATTTTCCTCATACTCATTCTCCTTTGCTAATCCTTTTTTTTTTTTCCCTTTCTTTCTCCCATCCCTTGGGGGAGTGGTTCTTTACCCTAACTGCATATGAGTTTTATCTATGGAGTTTTTTTAAAGGGGCGGGGGGACAGGTTGCTGTGGGTTATAAAGTCATCAGTTTGCTGGACTGGAAAGAATCACTGAAGCAGGATTAATTTTTTCTCTCTTCCTGTATTCTAAAGACAGCTTGAATTTTAGTACTAATTGAATACCTGTTTATGACTATGACTCAAGATTAGTGATGAGACAAAAGATGAATAGAATATGTTTCTGATCTCAGAGCCGCTAGTTGACATGAAAAACATAATCAGTTTTAGGATATCAAATTCTGATCATAAAGCTGTTCTGCCTGGGTGGTCAATGAACTCATCATAGAAGGAGATTACCATTTTCTGAGACGAAGAGACAGTAGGAAAAAGAAATTTGGGGAGGGTTGTGGGTTAGATCAGAAGTTAGTCTTTGAACATGTTAATTTTGAGATGTCTGTTCGTTTTCTTAGTAGAGATGGTCAGTAGGCATTTGGACAAAAAGAGTCTGGAGTTGAGGGGACAGAGCTGGATTTTAAAATTTGGACTGCATTTGGAGGAGGATAAGGATTAATACATAAAATATCTAGACTAAAGGGTATCTATACATCAACAAGGAAAAATAGAATTAAAAAAATATGGATAGGGAATTTACCAAAAAGGAATGTAAATGTCCAATGATCATGAAAAATGTTCAGTTTTCTGGGAAATAGATGTTGAAGCGACAAGATCACCTTTTCCCGTCAGATTGGCAGAAGTTTCAGAGTTTGATAATACCCAGTGTTGATGAGATTATGGGGGGACTTAGACCTTCCTAATGAGGCTATGACTTAGTACCTTTTTTCTTTTAGAAGACCATTTGACACATTTATTAAATTTTTTAATGCACATAACTTTGAATTCAGGAATCCTATGCCGTGATATCTAAAAGGGAAACTTGTACCTTTTCCCAGAAAGGCAGCTCAGATCTATTCATTGAAGCATTGTTTGAAGTTGAGAAAAGTGGAATAATCTAAATGTCCTCTAGTAAGGGAATTATTAAATAAACCATCTGTCCTAAAACCCCCTTGTTTATCTGTCTATTCCCTCTTGTGCCTTTTTAATTATCTCACATTTTAAAATTATATCAGTTGTTTAAAAGGCCATAATTTCTAGTGTGTATTGTATTTGTGCTGTTCATATTTAGTCACACCTTAGAATTCCAGATTTAGATCATAAAACTCATAGAGTACCTAGCATACAGTATAATTTGCAAAACATGTTCTCTACCCAGATAAATTGGACTCGTTCTTCATCAAGGAAAAAGAACTGACTTCTTTATCTTAAACATGTAATATGTGCATGTAGTATAACCACCTGACTTCTAAATTCTAGGCTGGCTGGCTGGCTGGCAGGCTGGCTAAATGAATAAGGCTTAGAACCCTGCCAAGAATTTATTTAATTGATAAAGGCCTGATTTTAATCAACCCCCCCAACTTGCTGTCCCTCAAGGGATTTTTACCTCTTGTTTGTTAGTTATTTGAAGTTTATACATCTCAGAATAGTGCACCTTAATAGGATTTGAGAAGGATAAGAATTTTGCCTTTCTTTTATAGAGTGGAGAATTACAATGTGGTGATTTTAAATGGAGAGGAATAAAGGAGAAATGGTTCTCAAAACAGTTCAGTTAGAAAGAGTACATGTAGACATCGAAGCTCTGGAAATTGTTTCTCCTAAAATCACCCATGTCTGCTCAATCTTAGGTTGCTGTTGAAGTTTGAAGACCATTGAGATAAGCAGTGTTGTAATATTACGAAATTAATGTATCTATACTTAACAATTTTAAAGAAGTGAGATTGTATGTCTTGACAGGGAAAGAATTTTGAGGCATGTTGTTCACTGAAAAAAGTGTAAAAAATAATATTTTATATATAATGCTTATGTTTGTATATTTTGTATGTGTATATATTATGATATTTACTTGAATAAAAAGGAGATGTGGAAAGGATACATAATAAACTGTAAATTGTACTTAATGTTTTTGGGAACGTGAAAATGATTTTCATCATTTATTCTGAATACTTACGTATTGAGTTTTTTACAGTTGAGAATTTATTGTATTACTAGTGTAGAAAGAAGTTTTAACATGTTTAATAATAAATGGGGAAAATTGCTATATTAAACAGTTCCCTAAGCCCTAAATTTCAAAGAACACTGGCAGTTACTACAATATTTTAATAAAAATATTCTAATTCATATCCTAAATGATTTTTACTTACATTCTTTTAAAATATTTTTCAGGTGTGGAATATCAAACAAATGATTAAGTTGACACAGGAACATATAGAAGCCCTATTGGACAAATTTGGTGGGGAGCATAATCCACCATCAATATATCTGGAGGTAAGCTATTGAGTATCCTATCTGTTGTAATTTTGAAAATAAAAACATGAACTTATCACAGGTATTTGTACTGGTATGTTGTTTCTCTTAGGGGATGAGATGAGAAAGGGGAAGGTGAATTACCTTCATCTTTCTTAAACTTAATATTTTTTCACTTGTTACAATCATATGCATATTTGTAATTTGGAAAACGTCAACACTAAAGGAGAAGTCATGTATAAACTTAAAAATAGTACCCTGGTGAAAAATTTATTTAAAAAAGAGAGAGAGAGAAAGCATAGAGGTTAAGAAACTAGTTACCATATTAGGAAATGGGGCAAATTTTGTAAAATACGTTTTTTCCTGGTAAAATATCTTTTTTCCAGAACAAATCCCTCCCCAAATTGGTTTTTCCTTTCTTAATAAGTAAAATATATAACATTTAAATAGCTCAAAATTGCCTAGCTTTACTGTTTAATAGTGCTGTTAGGCTTTTGTATCAAGCTTTGAGCATCACTGTAAATTTGTAGAGTAGTTAGTCATTGTTCTTAATCCTTTGAGGTAGTAGTTATTATTACAATCACAGATAAGCCTTCTTGGGATTGCTTCCTTCTGTGAGTCACTTGGGTTCCATGACAAGCGTGCTGTTAGGGAATCCAGGTAGTGGGGCTTCATAGCCAACACTGCTCACCACTGCTCCTGCTTCCTGTCTGTGAAAACTGGCTCCAGCTGTAATCGCTTGTCATACAGGACTATAACCCTAAATTACAAATGGTCAGATTACCATTTGCCTTCAGATGCCAGAGATTTTTAGGCATGGATTGATAGACTCCTAAACTAAATTTCTAATTTAGTAATCTAATTGCTTGTAAAGGGCACATTAAATCTAAGTTTGCATTTCTAAAATAAATTTGGAAGTTTAGAAATAACCACTGATAAACTGTTGTCTTCTTCATATGGCTTATCCCAGAGCACACTGACAGATGTTAGTACTAGGACTAGAATTCATACCTCTGAAGACTAGTTAGTGTACTTTCTAATATTCTGTGCTGATTTACTTTTATGTCTGAGGAGGACAGGAATAGGAGTCGTAAGGACACAGATCTGGTGAAAAAAGTAATTCTTTGTTAGTTAGAACTAGACAACTTAACCAGCAGATTTTCTGCCAGCCACTTAGTGTCTTGGGAGACTTTCCCCCATGCTTAGTTGTAATACATTTATATCAATAACCGTGTTTGAGTATAGTGAGGATTCACTGCCTCCTCCACACTCACACTCTTCAGGCTTTTTACTGTTGAAATTACATCTAACTAGGATAATACACAGCAGACCATACCTCATAGATTATATCATTAGCATGTAGATCCTTATTTACAGGGACAAACACTGCACTATAATGTAGTGGTTAAGATGAACCTTGGAGGGACGCCTGGGTGGCTCAGTTGGTTAAGCGGCTGCCTTCGGCTCAGGTCATGATCCCAGTGTCCTGGGATCGAGTCCCACATCAGGCTCCTTGCTCGGCAGGGAGCCTGCTTCTCCCTCTGCCTCTGCCTGCCACTCTATCTGCCTGTGCTCACTCTCGCTCTCTCTCTCTCTCTCTCTGACAAATAAATAAATAAAATCTTTAAAGAAAAAAAAAAAAAAAGATGAACCTTGGAGTCACACAGGCCCTTTGGTTGAATCTTAGCTTTGTCTTAGTTTCTGCAGTTAGGTTACCCAACCTTCCTATATCTCACCTCATTGGTAAAATGGGAGTACTATCACACATGGGGTAATTAAAGGTTTCATTAAGTTTATAATTACAAAATAGCCTCATTCTTGATACATATGGCGTGCTCCATAAATTTTTGACTCATTCATTCAGCAGGTATTTATTGGGTGCCTGCTTATTTTTATGCTTTTCTAGCTCTGGCGATATAGGAAAAAAAATATTTGTCTTCATGCAGCTTTTATTTTTCTCAGGGGATGGGATTACAAACAATAAACATGGAACTTACACTACTTGATATATGAAGAGGAGCCTGCCTGGAGATGACAGTATTTTTCCCTAAGGAAAGTTGACAAGGCCCAGGGAAAAGGTCTCTGGGTACTGATATGTGAAGGCCCTTCAGTGAAAAACCAAGTCTCCTAGTTATCCACTGAGACCCACCATTCTGATTTCTTTATGAATTTGACTACTCAGATAAATAGAATTACACAGTATTTGTCCTTTTGTGACTAGCTTGTTTCATTTAGCATAATGTCTTCAAGGTCCATCTGTGTTGTAGCATGGGTTGAAATTTCTTTTCTAATTAAGGCTAAATAATATTGCACTTTTTTTTATCCATTCATCTATCAATGCATACCATCAGTGGTTGGTCATTTATAACTTTTTGTTGTCATAAGTAATGTTGATTTTACTCCTTTTGACTATATACCTAGAAGAGGAGTTACTGAATCATGTGGCAATTCTGTATTTAATTTTTTAAAGAATTGCTATATTGTTTTCCACAGCAGCTGCCTTTTTCATTCCTATTAGCAATACATACAAGAGCTCCCATTATGCCACATTCTTGCCAACACTTACTTTCTGTATGTGTGTGTGTGTTTGTGTATGTGTATAATGGCCATCCTAATGAGTATGAAGTGGTATCTCATGGTTTTGATTTGCATTTCCCTGATGACTAATGATGTTGAGCATCTTTTCATGTGCTTATTGGCCATTCGTATTTCTTCTGTGGAGAAATGTCTAAGTCTTTTCACCCATTTTTTAATGGAGTTATTTACTTTGTTGTTGAGTTGTAGAAATTCTTTATATATTCTGAGTATCAGTCCTAATTGGACACATGATTTGCGGATATTTTCTTCTAATCCACGGGTTCCCTTTTCACTCTGTCGATTATGTCCTTAGTGCATAAGATTTTTTTATTTTGATGATGTCTAACTTACCTCTTTTTCCTCTTATTGCCTGTGCCTTCGGTGTTACATCCAAGAAATCATTACCAGATCCAGTGTCATAAAGCTTTTATTCAGCTGTCTTCTAAGATACATAGTTACAGTTTTAGCCCTTATGTTGAGGTCTTTGATCCATTTTGAGTTAATTTTTCTGTATGGTATAAGGTAAGAGTTCAGCTTCAGTCTTTTGCATGTGTATATCCAGTTTTCCCAGCCCCATTCGTTGAGAAGACTGTCTTTTCTTGTTGTATAGGCTTGACATGTGCCCTTGTCAAAAATCATTTGACCATGTATATAAGAATTAATTTCTGGGCTCTCTTTTCTTTTCCACTGGAAAAGTTATGTCCAACTTTATGCCAGTTGATACTATACTGATTTTATTACTATAGCTTTGTAATAAGTTTTGAAATCAGGAAGTGTGAGACCTCCAGCTTTGTTTTCCTTTTCAGGGTTGTTTTGGCTATTCAGTATTTTTTGAGATTCATATGAACTTCAGGGTAGATTTTTCTCTTTCTGAAACACATTGGGATTTTGATAGGGATTGCACTGAATTCAGAGATTGCTTTGGGTAGTATTGGCATCTTAAGAGCTCTTAAGTCTTAAATATAAATGGATAGCTAAGAATAACCAGATATTGGAAGAAGACTTTTAACAGGAAAACTAATAGCAAAAATGGCCAAAAGAAACTCAGAAACAGGGTTCGGGGGGGATTATGGACATTGGGGAGGGTATGTGCTATGGTGAGTGCTGTGAAGTGTGTAAACCTGGCGATTCACAGACCTGTACCCCTGGGGATAAAAATATATTATATGTTTATAAAAAATAAAATAAAAAAAAATTTTTTTAAAAATATGAGACAGAAGTACCTAGGTAAAATTATGAATAAAAAGAAAAACCCTTAAAAAAAAAAAAAAAGAAACTCAGAAACAGTCAGAGAACAGATGAAAACCTGAAAATAACTATAATTAACATCAGAGGTAAGAGAAGACAGTCCATTCTTGTTTCATGGCTGTTCTAAAACAAGTCTTAATGGAGCACAAGAAAGAACTCTTGCCATTAAAATAATTAAAATAGTATAATAGCAGAAAATATAAATATATGTGTGTTTGTATGTCTCTAGGCATATAAATAAATGTTGTAAGACAAAGTTAAGGAAATCTCTAGAAAGCAGAATAAGAACAAAGATGGAAGATAATTAAAGGAAAGATGAGAAAAATTAGAGAATAACTCTAGTAGGAGATCTGTAAAAATTACAAATGCTTTTAGCTATAGAAATACAAAAAACCACTTAGTCACAAGTTTCACAAACAAATAGGAGTTTTATTTTCCCCTCCAATAACAAGAAGCATGGAAGTAAACTATTTTAACCTTGGTTTTACAGCTCAAAGTTGTCAGATGCTGGGGTGAATCTCTATAGTCCTTTGGCTTTTTGGTCATGACTGCAGCAGATTTTTGTGTTCTCATAGGACACCTCAAAGAAGAAGCTGGGATCACAGAGGCTCTCTTGTGTACTGAGTTCTTTCAAGGAAGAAAATTTTCCCTCCAAATCCCCTATAAGTCTTTTCCTTTACATCTCATTGAGTGGAATGGGGTCACATATATCCCTACACCAGTACTATGTTTACATTTCTTCAAATAAGAGGCTAAAAAGTCCATTTTTCCCCTTTTCACAATTCGGCTTTAGATTAGTTTGAGACTGGCGAGTAGAAGTTACACTAGTTATGTCAATCCATAACATTTCAACGTAGGAAATAATGTGTCCTGTATGTTTGATGTTTCCATAGGAAACATCTTTAGCTATCCCTGTGTTTCTTCTTGTAGCAGAACAGAGTGAATCCAGTTATATTATCATCAGAAATTTTCTTATCTTTTTTCTTGTAGTAATTTATTTAAAAACTTTTAAGGTGTTTATTTAAGCTTTTAAGTTCTAGATTTTCTATTACTGGTGTGAATAATTAAAATTCTGTTGATTCCTTTGATGATAACTATAGTGAAATGAGCTATAGTACTCTCAAGAGTTTTAAATTTGTCTTTTTAATCTTTGGTTCCTTTTTAAATCATCGTCCAGAGGAAGAAAAGATAAGTCA